CCGTAGATGTTCCTCGTCTGACGGTCAAAGTGCCTTATCAATCAGTAAGTGGTTACACTTTGATCACAAAATTAACTTTTTGATTTGGCTAGTTTCCTTTTTTATTATTAGGAACATTTTCCATAACAACTACAAGAATACAAGTATGCTAAAAGAGTATGCTACAATCAGCAAGAGTGACTGATACATGCTGAGTTAAAGGTGTGTTTCATAAATGACTGATGAATATCAAACACTACTTTATGATCTAGAAAGGATAAGGAAAAAGGCCCCGTGTCCACCTAGTGTTTTTTTCAGCTCCAGCATCTTTTTTTAAAGTTGTTTTCAATGAGGAGAGAGCAATTGCAGCAGCAGCAGTCAGCCACCCAGAGACAAAGTGCAGTGCCCAGTTTCTTTTTTTCTGGGTGCTCCGCCTTTTCTGTGAAGTGCTTCGAGTTTAAAACCGTTCAACTTTTCAAAAAGGCGCCGTTAACGTCACCGGTGCTCTTTTCAAAATATTCACATCTTGTACCCACATCCTCTTTGCTCCATGTCTGATCGGGACAGTAGTGCCGGTCATACAGCGGCCATTATCAACAGACTATTGTCAAAGAGACAGGATGGAGGTGCAGGGCTATTATTCTCAGTGCACAATCCCGCACAGTCAGCGCTTTACTGCCTGAAAAAACGCTAGGTGGACACAGGGCCTAATAGTGGTAGCTTTCTATTTATACTGCAGGTAAATACCAGCAAACTTATTGTTGTCTTTTCTTTAATATCTGTTGAACATAGGAAGTGAACCAGAGGTGAGGATGTCTTCCGCAAAAGCTCGGCTGGCCAAATCCTCGACCTATGCGACCTTCTCCACACCTAAAGCAACACAAAGTGCCACTGTGCCATCCACAACTGAACTGTACCGCACACTCCGCCTGATACCAGACAGCAGGTATTAATCAAACAATCCATTTCTGTTGTATGTAATTAACTAAATGTGAAATTTGTGTTTCCCACCTTCCTCTCAGTGATGTGATTTCATTTTTGAAGTATTATTTCTCTAAGGGGTCTTTTAACATCTAAGAAACAAATCTGAGTTGCCTTCAGTTAAAAACAAAAACATTTTTTTTTTTTTTTTTTTTAGGTTCAGACCCTGTTGCTGTATTTTTTGGACTCGGACCTTCTTTAACAAATATTTCTTCTCCATTTCAGTTCATCCAGACATTCAAATCGAGGAAGCTGGCAAGAATCCAGCACCATTGACGATGGCGATACTCGGTTCAAGATTAAAAACAGAGTTCGATGTGGAGACTTGAGTATCTTCTCTCTGGGTGAAGATGAGAACAGCCTCACTTGAACTTCCAGTGCCTTTTTTTTCTTCTTCTTGTGAACGGACTATCCATCTATCCCTGACGGAATTCCAACACTACAAATGAACACTTAATTTTTTTTTTTCAGCATTGCTCTTATGTTGCTTTGTCACGGATATGCACAGATCATTCATCGAAAGCTGAACAAACAAGAAAGCACTTTAATGACCCTGCCATTATTTTCTTTACCAACAAATCAACACTGACAACTCAGATTTTAAACTGTTCAGTGGAGGGTATGTACCAAGTAGTGATATGTTAGTTTAAGATGAACTTGTTTACATATTCTACATGAATAAATTATAAGTATAATTTTAATGAAAGTAAATAATGACATTCGATTTATAATATGCTCTGCTAAGGTAACTCCACAATAAAGTTATTTTTTTTTTTTTAATGAAATGTTTTATTTGGTCTTAATCTGGCGCCCTCTAGTGTCATTATTTGAGATCTGCAGTCACAAAATGTGAACAACCGGAATCCGGATGTCATCATCTGTGCTTTGTTTCTGCATCCAGCCCTCGATCCCACCCACCGCCCTGCGACTGTTTTCCACAGAAAAATACATCGACAATGTCGGGTTCTTCTAATCTCGTAGCTATGAAAAAGGTCGTACAGCAGCTCCGGTTTGAAGCGAGCATAAACAGAGTGAAGGTAATTATGTGTTTGTTGCGTTTTTTTTTATTTTTTATGTTAAACAGCGAAGGGGGGGAAGCTCTACCGATACCCCGAGCCGCTAACAATGCTAACTGTAGTTAGCATTAGCCGATGGTCAACAGGCTTGCAGAATAGGGCGTTGTTTGGTCTAAGGGGAAGTTTTAATAAAAGTCTGAAACCTACACTTTCGACTGTATTCACATCTGGCAAAGCTGACTTTGTGGCTGTGAACATTTAACGGTATAGTAAAGATTATCAGACCCGGTTGAGGCATTTTGTATCGATCTAAAAGTACATTTACCAACTACAAATTAACCTCCATTTATAATCTTGTTTTTTTTTTTTAAATCTTAAATCACTACTTTTTTTTACGTTATAGAGACTGTTAACATTTGTACCGTGTAAAGTAGTTTTAGAGCTAAATGAAACGTGTTGCATTATCTGGCCAGTGGAAAATTTTTTTTATGTGTTTTTATTTAATGTGTGTGTATTCAAAACTGTATGAATCAATGGGATCTTGATTTATTATAAAACAAAACAAATTGCTTCCCAGTGAAATGAGTGTTATCTCTTGCTGTCCAAGTTATTTGTGAATATAGACGCCCAGTATTTTGTTTAAAATGTGCACTATTCACTCTGTTACTGCTTGTCTATTAGGAATTAGATGATCTGATGTCAGATATCATGGCTACGCTCATAAATGACTCAATATTGTCATAATTCAGTTAGAAGATATGACTGTTCCAGCTTTAAAAAGAACTGGCCCCTACATGTATTATTCTGCAAATGAATACCCTCTTTGTTATATCACTAGTCACATTTTAAGGCTTACATTTATTTACAGTCACTTGCTGCAGAGCCTCATTAAGTGTCATGCATCTCTTTTCATGCGAGCCAGCTGTTTAAAAAAATACTGAGTTGACTCATTGTTTCAGATATCTCCATATATCCCCGTGTCGTAATTTACATTTTGGTTTCTCTTCTCTCACTAGGTCTCCCAGGCAGCGGCAGACCTTCAACAGTTTTGTATGCAGAATGCCTTGCAGGACCCTCTGCTCACTGGTGTATCCTCCAGCACCAACCCTTTCAGACCGCAGAAAGTCTGCTCCTTCTTGTGAAAACCACTGTGTTTATTGGTCAGTCCACCACCCCGGTTGACACTTTTACACACGCACAACTACTGTATATACACAGAAGCAACAGGTGGTATTTCTGTAAACCAGCGACTCTAGTTGCCTAATTTTTTGCTGTTAAAAGGTATCCAAGGTTTAAGGGGCAAAATACATGTAATGAAGCTTCTTAAGGGGCTAGAGCTTTCTTGGCGATGTCTGTTAATAAAGAGGTCAAGTAGTGGATTGTTGGGATCTGATCTTCCCTTCTATGCAACATGTTGAGTTGTCATCACAGAGCGCTGCGCCCAAGTTGAAAAATGCTCAACTTCTGCGCAGTGTGCACAGACAGCAAGTGGGACCTCGCTCTGAGTTTCAGTGCTCTTTCGTGCTACACATAGACAACCAGTGGGTTTGAAAGCGGCACACAGCGCCCACCTAATCCTATCTAAAAGCCCCTAGAGAGGTCCCTGACTAGTTCACTTGTTTGATACTATCTAGATGAATGCACAGTATGTACTAAACTCTTAGTTGATTAGTATGTTCCCTTAAGAATCCACATACACTGTTAGTTGCTATCATTTTTCAACAATAAGGATGTGTCCTAGTGCTCTGTAATGGTACTTATACTAATAATGATATCAAATTATACAGGTAAAATACAGATACACTACTATTAATTGATTAAAATGTTCAGTTAAATGATGCAAAAATTGTACAAAGTTGAATTATAAATGTTACAACTGATCTGAAACCTAATAAGATTTTGTTTTACAACAAAAACCACTTTAATTTGGTGAAATTAGGTTCGGTGCCTTAATTTCAATCTGTGATTTCTTTTTCCCAGGCCTTCATTTTGATGCTACAGGGAAAAGATGACCTCAACACTGCTCCTCATGCCAAGCCATTATACTGCCACGGGATCTCTTGAGTGTAGAACACATTGTCAAACATGTCAGGAAGATGACCATCTATTTTCAGCCACAGTAGAAGAAAGGAGACAGTTTTATTTTTCATGGCACAGTATGATTTTCGCAGGAATTATTGTGCCTTTTCTATTGTTGTATTTTAGCCATCACTATTCTGGACTTTTTTGTATTTAATAAATAAACAGCATTCTTTACTACCTCAGTGTCTAATTGATGTATATTTTTCTTACTATTCAGTATAACAACTAGACTAACATAACTTAATATATGGGGTTGTCAGAGATCAAAACCAGCAATGAGGGAAGTAAGTACTTCTACTTGGGAGTATAAATAGAAAAACCACAATTTATAAAGTCTAGACTGAGCTGTACTGTGAAGTGCTGAAGCATATAATAGAATAAGTAGAAAATAGTTGATCTCAGTTCAAATGGGACATGAAATTGTATACGGATTTAATTAGAAAATGACATTAATTTAAAAGATTTGGGAAGGGGAATTGAAAAACGTCTAATAAAATAGACAAATGCGTTTAAACTTTTATGTTTTATGCCCGTTTTCTATTGGAATTATGTTCTGTTTTATTGATTTACAATTGAACAGGGAACTGATTTTCACAGCACTTAGGTGAGGAAAGTAGTAATACAAATATATAATGGCTCACTGATAAGTAAATCACACCGAAAAATGCCATAGAAACGGCGCCCACGCCAGAAGTGGGGGTTGGGGGGGGGGGGCCCACGTGAGCGTGATCACCGTAAAGCTATTGGGATCAGCTCTCGCGAGAACCTAGCGAACAGCGCCTCCGTGGTACTCCGGGAACTGACCTCAGGTCGGTTTTGTTGCTCCGCTACTTCAGCGCTTTCCGCGGAGCTCGTAAATCACAACTGCTGCTCGACCAGCTGAATGCCACTAGTTTGAAGAATGAACCATGGGACATCGTTACTGTGGAAACGACGGTAACCTATCTTGTTTAACCTAGCACGTTAAATACTGTAAGCTTAAGTTAGACGCGTTTATGTGTGCTAAGTCTTACTTTAAAGGAAAGGTTTGCTGCATGGTACATCTTGTCTTGTGGTTGTTCGAGCCCGGTTTATCCGCCTGCAAGAACACGGGTTGACGCTACGTGATGCTAACAGCTCACTAAGGTAACGCTGCACGCCGTCACTGATGCAACACTAGTGATTACGTTCACCGTTAGCTAGTCAGTGGAAACTATAATGGTTGTAGTTGTAGAAATAGTTCCCGAGAATAGACTCCTGCAGCTGAAAAAAAAAAAGCGAGTGTGTTGACTGTGCCCACAGGAGGCTAGCGCTAGCTGAACTCCACGATGATGCTTCAGGATGGTTCAACGCAGCTCCTCTGCCTCACAGCCAGCAGTGGGGTTCCTCTGTTTACTAGAGGAGCCTCCAAACAACTCCCGTTTTCCGTCATTGGCTCGCTGAACGGCGTCCACATGTTCGGCGGCGGCCAGGGAGTTACCCTGTCCAGCTGTGAGACTGAAGGAGGGGCTATGGTGGTGTGGAGGGTCTTCAGGGACAGTGTGATGCTCATTGCTGTGAATGCAGGTGGACGAGGGGGCAGCAAAGTGGAGGAGGTCCGTCTTCACCGCCTCCTGGAGAATGTCTGGAACTGCTTGGTGCTGGTGTTGGGGCAGGACGAGTTGGTCAATGTCAGGAATGTTGAGAGGCTGAAGAGGGATTTGCGATCCTGCTTTTGCCTCATCGATCAGCTGTTGGAGGAGAAGCAAGAGGGCATCCTAGGTAATCTAACACACTGTGCTGATTCACTGCTGCCCCCAAACCCAGCTCTTCTTCAAGAGGCAGTGGACGGCTTCGCCCAGGCTGCAGACAGCGAATTTGGCTGCCTAATTGTTCACGGGAGGATAGCTGCGGCAACTGAGAAGTGGTGGCGCCTAGCACCGCAGGAGGTTGTGCTCCTGTCTGCTTTGATGCGCTCCCTCTCGGCCTCTGGTTCAGCCTCTTGTGATTACCCAGTTTTCCTTCCTCAGGGCAGCCCCACGGTGGCTCACCGTCTGCTTCGCTTCCAGCTGCTCCACGGGGTGGACGTGTGCGTTTTGTGCGGTCCAACCCCTTCTCTGCACAGAGCCGAGAGTGGACTTGTGGGTCGTTTCTGGACACCCCTGGTGGAGACCTTGAGAGATTGCCTTGCTGTTGGAGAGCGCTGCTTACCAGGATCAGTGTCCCTGCGCCCAGATGTGCTGGCACTTCTTCTCATCAACCGCGAAACACGCCGTTCAGTCTGCTGTGTTCGTACTCCCACTAATCTACCACCTGGGGACCCACAATTACCCTCAAAGTCCCGCTGCTGGGAGCTTTTGAAAGTCTTCTACATTTTCAGCACCACACGCTACTTCACCCAGGAGGAGACTTTAATTGTCCCCCCAGAGGCGAAAGCTCAGAGGGACAACACTGAGGACTTTGTCCTTGGTTTCACTCATCAACCACAACAGTGTTTTCTAGTTACAGAAGAGTGCAAAAGCTTTGGACTTCAGACCCCGCAACACCAGCTCTTCCTACTTGTCCCTCTATCAGTGCCCACCTTTGCAATACGTACGGTGGCCACACAGACACTCTCTGCTATTGTTTCAGCCACTGGGCTTTAATGAAATTATTTACTTTGTTATAAGAATTAAATTTCCAGTGAAGTCATTTTCTTGACCTAATCATTTCTAATAACAGGTCAATAAATATAAACCTGCACACTGAATTAGCTGCTGATATTTACATTTCCTCATATCCTTATTGAGGACTGCAAACAAACCTCTCTATTAAGAGATTTAGAGGCATTAAACATCAGTAGGGAATCTAACAGTGATGATGAGAGGAAAACATCAGAAAATGTCCTTCCAAAGTGAACTACATGAGCTTTTGTTTGCATTTAATAGAGAAGTCTCCGTTGTGTCTAACTTCACAGGCTTCAAGGCTGTCCATGTAGCAGTAATGTAGGTTGGACTTACTGAACACTAACCTTATCACTGTGTTTCACTGAGAATCATGTGAAATTTTGTTACACTGTGAAAATGAGTGCCTGCTGTTTGTTGACATGACATGTTGAATCATTTGGTTTCAAAACTATATACTGTTCATTTATTTTTGGCCTATTTAAATTCTAAATATAGCTGGCTGTGTGTGTTTGTGTCATTGATTGTGATGTTTACAAGTTTACGTTCTCCTCTGTGATTGCAGTATATACGTCGATTGCGCATTGTTACAGTTAATGAAAAACCTATCAACCACTTCACAAATACGACAAAAGGCGAATAAAGTGCTCACTAGTTTTATTCTTAATACATGACATTAAACTCATTGCTAATGAAAGCTAGTAACAAATTAATATTTTTGTTGTGTCTTGGACAGTTGTTGACAGCTGTGAGGCACAAACAGTTGATACTAAAATGTTTTTAACTTTCAGAAGAAGAACAACTGAAAGCATAACTATCACTTACATAAGCCAAAAACAACCATGGCTTTTGGTGAGTTAACAAAACTGTATTTCACACTGCACATTACTATAATAACAGTGACAGTGAATGTTGAAAACACATACACACATTTAAGGACTACCTCAGTCTTCTTAAGATGACTTAACACTCCTGAGAAAGGACCCAAAAAGCTATATGAGACATTTTCCAAATAATTTTCAGATATGTACTGAATCTAAATACAGATTTTTGTCAGAAGAATTTTAATCTGGGCTCACGTTAAGATAGGAGGAGCAGTCAGTCATTGTTGTGTTCACTATGAAGAATTCAAACTCTCCTGCCTAACAGCATGGAGTATTCAAATCAGAAAGTGGGACTCAGTGCTCAGCTTGCTTTGCGGTTCGGTTACATTATCCACGTCCGAGCCACGTCACTCTCCCCAAGGCTGTTTGGACTCAGATAGTAACCGGAGAACCGAGCTGGACTGAAAGCCCCACGGTGCGTTGGGAGTAACTGAGGATAGTGGGGGGTGGGATAAATGAAGCCACACAAAGGGGGTGGGATACGCTCTCTTGCTGTAGCGTTGCCATGTGTGCAGGGATCAAACCCTCAACTAATGCCAGAGTGAGAAGCGGAATCAGTGCATGTTGATGCCGCCAGGATCTAAAAGAAACATCCTGGGATTGGATCACAATTTAGTCGAAGCCAAGTTTTGTACTTCAACCTTATAAGGTCCAAAGGTCTGAGTGCTTAGTCATATTTAGGTTGCTCCACTTGCACAACTTCAATTTGACTCCCGACGACTGAAGCAACCGGTGTATTGCAGGTCGCAGTGCCCCGCGGAGGCTTTCAAAGTTAACTTATTCAGAGAGAGCGAGCGAGAGAGACAAGGCCGTGTAAAAAAATGTCAGCCACTCGGATGCAGCTGCTGTCACCCAGACTTTTCAGCCGGGGGCGAAGCGAGTTGTTCGCCGGCTGCAGTGGAGCGCAGCGGCCCGGCGCCGGTGCCGCTACCAGGGTCCGCTCACTGACCTCTTCTCCCCCTCTGTCCTCCTCCTCCTCCTCTCCCGACAGAGCTTTATCAAGTGTGAGTGCGACGCGGCGTGGGCTGCCCCAAGAGAAAATGTCCGAGAATGGAGTGACGTCCCGGGCCAAGATATTGACCATCGACACCATGAACCCCACGGTGAAGAAGGTGGAGTACGCTGTGCGGGGGCCCATCGTGGCGCGGGCTGTGGAGCTGGAGAGGGAGCTCTTAGAGGTACAACGACAGGCTGTATGATCTCTGCACTGTGTTTCCCATCCCCTGCATCCTCCATGGACCATACTATGTGTCTGCTTTGCATTACATGAAAGCCCCATACTTCTCATCTGTGCATGTTAAGTCTTTTATTACATGTGTTTGTTTTATTGGCCAGACTTTGGCTAATGGCTGTGCATCTTTGATAAGACAACAAACCTGATATCAGACACATTTAATACTCCACCGTGGAGCCATTTAATGGTCCCTTGATTTAAAAACACAAAACTCTTTTAAAAAAAAAAAAAAAGGAAGAAAGAAAGTCACATTTTGCCATGGAAGATCAGTTCCACTCATTCCAATCTCTTAAACTTTGAATTTAATCGGCATATAAATTATTCTGCATGCTGCAGCTGCAGCTGTTTAATACTTGTGAGCTTTTTGGCCAAAGGAGTTCCTCAGTCAGTGTCTTTCATTTTACACTATGCCAATCAGCAATCCTCTGGTCCGGGTTATAGCCTCACTAACATCATGTAAAGATTATCCCAAAAGAAAAGTGGGTTATTATTATCACTCTCCGTGCTGTATACACACCCTCCTATCAAAGTCCATCAGTTAAACAGTAAATCCGGAGGTTGTTTATCATGCTAGAAAGTCTGTCGTCTCTTATGATCAAGATATCTTTGTCATTATTGTTAATGTCTAACCTGTTTTGAAGGCCTTCACTGAATGAATGAAAGATCCTCAGCGAGGGGTGAAAGTGTAAACCTGAGACTGCACTATTCGGTCCTAGGCTGTTCATACCTGTTTCTCACTGTCTGACCTAGTATCGATGCACGTGTCTTTATCTTCATTGCTCCCCAATGTCCAACTTCTCATACCATTCTTTTTGGCAGCTGATAAGCACAGACTGTTATCTATGTGAGAATAACTACTGGTCTTTAAATGCCTGTATCATTCCTCTCTTTTAACCCATAGAATACAATGTTTTTACAAAAACGATGAATACAATCATCTTCAGCCTATTGCATTATAAAAACAAAGTAGTTGTGTATTTCCCTCTAATTCTTTTTTATAGAGTTCTGTTTAATCCCTTCCTCTTGAACAGTTTATGATGATGTGGCAACCAGCTGTTAGTGTAACAAGTGCAGTCTGGTGTGAAAAGTGTCCTCTCTTGAGTGCTTTGCTCAGGAAGGGAGATGAGTTTGTGAAAAGGTTCTTACACAGGTGAAAAGCAAGGCAACACAGGCCTGCAGGGACTGTAATGACAGTGGTGACCTTTTTAACCAGATGGCTAACTGGCATCATAGATTTTATGCACTGTTTGTGTTGCTTCTCTAATGCTGAACCCCCCCCCCCCTCTCTCTACAAGAAAGGTATTTTCTTACTGACTGTGAAGAGTTTATCAGGTGTAGTCAAATTTATATTTAGGTGTTCAAGCAGAAGAAATTGCACTTAAACTCAGCTGGTTAAACCCAATCAAGATATTGAGGAATATGAATGTTTCCTATTGAGAAAAAAGACAATTGCCCAACATTTTCCAACTGCTAATGAACTCTTAATTCAGCACATTTTCGCTGTCTGCAGGGGAAACGCTGCAGTTTGCCAAGAAAGCAAAAATGTACCCGAGCAATCATGTGTCGTTCTCCAAACTTTGTTTCTTTCTCAAAACACACTCCCCTTTATTTTTTGTACACCGCCCTTTTGAAGCTGCCTTTCGAATCAGGGTTGGATTACTTTGGGAAACGGGTCACAGTGGTGTTCTCACTTTACTCCATTAATAAAACAAAACAACCTGAGCGCACACAGAGACTTCAGTTTCCTACACACCATGTCATTTTGGAACTGATATCTTTGCACTTTAATGAAGTGTAAGAAAAGCCTTGTTCCTTTTATTCTCCCCATATGCTGAAGTTGTGAGTTCATAACTTTTGCAAACAGGGAATAGAAACAAGACTCACATTAAGCCAACTGGCTGTACCAGTCAACAAGCGCACAGATGAAAAGGCTTTCCACGCTGTTACTCTGGTCTTTGTTTGTCCTAATGAGCAGCTAGCTGATGGTGAATGGGTGGCATTTTTTAGTGTCGCTATGGGGACAGACAAGAGGCAATCAAAGTCAGTTTTTGACATTCTTTCAGCATAGTCTGCCTGGAAACAACACGCCAACCTATTAAGATGTTTGTGTTTCAAGTGGATTTATGAAACTTTTTTTTTTTATCTCCTTTTAATGTGTGAACTTTACACTGAGCTCTTACCCTGTTACTGCTTCAGACACAACATCAAGCTGATCATGACTGAAATGTTCCCTTTGCAAGCCTTGGGAGAGAAACCAATAATATGAAGGGACGTTGTGTTAGTTTTATCTTCTCAGAACGTCAGCATTGTTTGCTGTTGTTTATCAGCGATGAAGGACAAAACGGCACAGACCTTTCCAGTTGGTTCTCTGGAGCAGAGGTCAGTTTGTTTCTAAAAGACCCCTCATCATAAATGGGCAGTTACTTTGACCTGGGGGTGTTATTGCCCCATTGTCACGCTATTGGTCCAGACCGAGATACGCCTCTTATATGTGACCAATGAGAGCGCCAGAGAGAGCTTCTTAAAAAGTGAACTGGATTGGAAAATTCAAACAAGCAGGCTGTTGTGATTACAGCAGGATGGCAGTGTGAGGTTCAAGTTGCGGCCTCTCTGCGGTGTCACGCTGTTCTAACATCTGGTGTTAACAGCGTGTGTGTGTGTGCGTGCTTGTGTCTGCCTGCATCACTTTTTGTCCTCTGTCAGTGGACTCATCTGCTGAAAGAGTTTTCTCTCAGAAATGTTCATTTTTACATGACAGTGGATACCTTTTCATTTTGGTAAACCAATCTCGTAGTGAGAAGCGAGTTTCCTGCAGCTTTGCTTACATATCCAGTTCTCATCCAGGCTCCACCAAGGCAGTGAAAAACCTTTGTGTGATGTATGTTTCTGTGTCAGGAGGTTAATCATATCAGCACTATGAGGTAGTTTGCACAAGATGAAACTTCAGATGTTTGCATGAACTGTGTATTAAGGCTTTTGCGAACACACCCAATAGTTTTCACTTACTTGCTTCTTTTTCTGTAGTCTTGTTGTTTCTTTCATTGCTAATGCATTGGTCCATGTGTCCTTGTATCTAAATTGCTCTTATCACTGTGATAGAGGCGTATCACACTTCTTATAAAGAAAGTTACAAGTACTGCCTGACTAAATTTAACACGGATATAAAGTAAACCAGAGTAGTATATTTTTTAATCTACCTCTGCAGTGATTTGTTTTTTCTGTGTAGGTTCATGGTTGGTTGATTGAGCTGTGTAGAGTCTAGCTGTTTTCATCGGTAACATCCAATAACAAACCTGCCTGTTGGGAGCATCTTAACATAGGGTTTTATGTAGTCCTGGATTTACAGTCCTTTATATTGTTCTGCTAAATTAAGTCCAGAAAGGCTCTAAATCTGGACAAGTGCAGAAGGGTTAGAGCTTATAGTCGAGTAATGCAGCTTTATTTTCTACCGCAGTGCAGTATGTCAACAATTTTCTAACACTTCAAATCTTTTTATACCTAATGTCTTAAATGATCCTGTCTCTATTATTTCTGTTTTATGTCTAAAGTATTGAGCAGTATCAAAGCGTTGAGATTTTGACTTCGGATCGTCTGTCATATTTTTAACCAAAAGCTTCAGCGAGCGAAAGAGGGAGAGAGAGCACTGTCTTAACCCCTAACCCACAAATGAATACAAAAAAACTTCAAGTTGTATTGTTCTTGCCGTAGTATCGAGACAAGTATCAATATCATTAAGCTAAAATGTTATCAAAATTGAAAAACTTGATATCGTGACGGCACTAATGTGCATCTTAGTGCAGGAAAGTCACACGTTCAGTCAAACAAACAACCGACATAACTCATTCCTGGATGTGGTTGTGTGTGACCCTCTGAAGCCGCTGTGATATTAGCAGGTGTTGCTCTCTCAGCCTCTTGTGGCATGCATATTTATGGCAGTAAGTTATGAATGTGTGTAGGCACAGTGTCAAGGGTGTATACTGTACATGCAGTAGTCATTCTCATCCCGGATTCTCTTTTATCATGTCAGTCACACTTGTAATTGGACTGTACATTTTAGAAAAATATCTCATTTATTTCTTGTTTATAAGCTCAATGGTCGCACACATTCCTTTAACATTTCTATATCTTGTTCCTCTGTCCTGCAGGGAATGAAGAAGCCCTTTGCTGAGGTCATCAAGGCCAACATTGGTGATGCGCATGCTATGGGCCAGCAGCCAATCACTTTCTTCAGACAGGTCTGCTCCTAAAACACCCTCCCCCCCTCACTTCTCATCTAAATTTAACACCTCCCCTCTGACCTGTCAATGTCCATGGTACCGATTTCTTCCTCCTTAATTAAATTGGTGTCAATCATGTCCTTCCTGCCCTGTGCCGTAATCCATGCAGGGGTTTGCATAATTTCCCTCGCTCTCTTTATTATACTCACACCTCTCTTTGTCTCAAGGTCTTGGCGCTCTGCTCCTACCCTGAACTGCTGAATGACAGCACGTTCCCGGAGGATGCTAAAAGTAGAGCACGCCGCATTCTGCAGTCCTGTGGAGGGTACAGTATGGGTGTGTATTTCTGTGCTAACACAATAT